ACTTTTGTTTTAATTATCAGTTACAAAACACCTAGGCTTTGTCATTAGGGCTAAGTTTGCATTTCCAACGTCAGTTCTTTATAAAGTAGGTCACAATATAGAACTTTATCTCAAATGTAATCATACTCAGTGTGTTTGTCAAGCACTGTTTGTTCAATCCCAACCCGTCCTACTGCCTGCAAAAGTGTGGACAGATAATGCAGGGATTCTGCCATCTAATGGTAAAAGAGTAACACTGACACTATGCACTTTGTAGGTTTGCTTCATTGCTACATAAGTAATGTAACGTAGGCTCATGTCATGACAATATACAGAATAAAAATGTTTTGAACAGAGGCATTCACTTCTCATTATTAATGCTTACTTCACACATAACTTGTTACATTTAGCATTTGGGGAGAAAGTGACATTCAATAGAGGTTTGACAGTTTTATGTTCAAACCAAAAAATTGTGTCAGGTGATCATGTGGTCCCACCCAAAAAAAAAAATTCATACACTCAGCCCTCTATGGCACACTGATAATGTGCAATATATGTAATCCAGATTATGGGCTATTCTTTATGCTGTTTTAACATAACATCATAGTTGCTCTTTTTATACATTGTGTGGACCTCATCAAACAATCTTGTAAGTACATAATGTTAAACCAAATGTCCAAATGAATCTACTTACCCTGTGTGTTTGCAGGCAGGACAGACAGCTTCAGGCCACATGCACTGCAGAACTTGGCTGCCTTCTCCAGTATATTATGGCCACAAACTGAGCACTTCATCTTCAGACTCTGCAAAGGAAGAAACAAGTACAACTGCAATGTAACACAATGTTCCCGATACTGTAGCAGATTCCTTTCACTTTCAGTTTCTGCAGGTTGAGGCCTCGTGAGATGAAATAGTGTTCAGCTGTGCAAAACAACCGCCCAGAGCAAACTGGTTTCTTTCATGTAGACTTTGAGCAGTCTTGCCCAACTTATTGACAAACACTTTGTTTCCTGATGGAAATGGAAGTAACATCAGTCAGTGAGCCACTGCACGCCCACCTTCAATCCCGCGACTTCACATCCAATCATTGCAGCCAAAGAGGAGGAAAAACCAAGAGGTCTCACCGCGCACTAGAGAAGGCTATGCCTCAAAGTTACACTACTATTACAAACATACACTGCCCCCTGAGGCTTTACAAAAGACAACACTGATCAAAACTAGTTAAGAGAAGAAAAAAGTAGTACTCTTCTGTAGAAAAAATAAAAAGCCTTTTTTAAACTTGCCTACTCATAAAATAATATGGCTGCTCCTGCACCACATGACCTCACTTGGGGTGGAAAATGCAGTAGATAGGCTAGGCAGTGTATTTTATAAGACAGGCTTTTTTCTTTGCTCCTTGTTTATATACATGGTAGACACGCCTAGTTCTGGAATAAGTTAAAAAGCTGAAACACCTGTAAAACAATAAAATGATGAAGTATATAACTCTTTACTGAGTGTAAAATGTATCACTACCATTTTATTTGTTGTAAATCACTAGTGAAAATTGGGAAAAGATATTCAAATACCCTATTACTGGGTGTATACTTATATTCCTTTTAGAGCATTTCAACTGGTAATCACAGCTCTGCTCTCTTTTTGTTGAAACCCTCTGTGGCTACACCCTGGGGAACGATTAGCTCCAATGTTAAAACCCACAGAGAGTAATTGAGTTGTTGTTGGGTTGTTGTTTTTTTTGTTTTTTGTCCAAACATGTTTATGGTTTTTTGTGACTCTTGTGTGTCATGCTGCTCCATCTGGGCCAGTGAAAACAGGAGACAGATTTCATTCTGTGCACAGTTACATGTTCAAAGTGTATAACATACTGGGAGAAAATAAGGCTTGGCACTTAAATTATACAGGATGCCTGTTTGTTTGTGCACCAAACTGTTAAAAATCTGGAACGTGTGAAAAAACACTGTAAAATAATCATCTGTAGTAATATTAGTGTGGAGGGGAAATTGCAAAGAATAACCGCAGAAGGAGAGCAAATATTCATATTTATGAACTCGAAGATGGGACAACGTTTTTCAAGCTTCGAGTGAATCTGCTTCCTAACGAAAGGATCTTTGGCTGCGTAGTTCAGCCAATCACATATTTGCTTCGTGTACGTATGTGTTAAGTCACATCCTGTTTCAGTGCCCGCCTTTAACATCATTTGACAACAAGAAAACTGAGAATGTAAACTAAACAAACACAGTAGCTGCCATTTTATCGTTGCGGTGTCACGAGACATTTATCAACTGCAGTAACAACACAGTAAAATAAATGTCCTTTCTACTAGTTGGCAGCGAGTTAGCTAGCTAACTAGCTCGCCATGTACCAGTATGTCTATTGAGCTGCGTTCATAAACAAGCTAACATTAGCTGGGTCTGTTTGCTCGACAACAGCGACAGTAAACTGTGTATGTAACGTTACAAGGCCAGGCGTCAGCCACATTAGACCGCATTCAAAGCCAGTTTGAACTAACGTTAGACTTACTCAGGAGTGTCCACAAGTGACAGCGACGTCTGACACCTACTCCAGCTAATAGGATTAGTTTATTCCTAGTTTGTCATAACATAAGGTCTGACGTTGTTACCCCCATCTTTCTACAAAAGAACAAAACAACAGCAGCCCTAACGTTACCTCGGCAGAGTGTTCCGCTGCATCGTCTTCTGTTTTACAAAAGGAAAAGTCCACAAGTCATCTCTGCTGGACCTGCGATGTACCGGCAGAGAATCACTTTGGCGTCGTTTCATTTCCGCATGTCTTTTAAAGTTTCGTTTTGTCAGAAATGGGCGTCCGCTAATAAAGTATACGTTTTTAATGACTCATATTGGTAATTTTCTGGAATGGGGCACAGCAAGTGCCCATGTGTAAAACTCAAGTCATTACTGTAGACCTATCCACCTCAACTCATCAATAATTCTAATTTAAATGTTTTAGAAAGTGATAGAGATATACTTTCTTATGGTCACCCCTGGAAAGCATGGTTGGTCATGATTATTTTTTGTTATTAACATTTTTTTTTTTTTTATTGCTTCCTACAGGCAAAATGTCACACCATTATGGGTGTTTAATGTTTCCTAGTATGTGCTACTCTTCCTAGAAAAGCTTCCATGAAAAGAAACCTTGTCAGATAATTTCTGGATTTAAAATTTCAGTGTTTTCCCCACATCTTCAACAAGGATTGTGGGACAAGTCCGTACATGTTTTACCCAATCATGAAAATGAAACTGCTTGTGGCTGTAATTTGTCTCCTCTTTGACTTTGAGAAAGGACAAAGCCAGTTGGTAGTCGTTTAATGGGCCAACAGCATGCTTCTGGAAATTTCCCCATGACGCGTTTAAATTGTGTGAATATGAAAGAGAGCCAAGCCTTTCCCTTGATCAATAAAACAATCAACAACTCAAACTGAAGTAAAAGTAAAACAATAGCTGAAGCTATATGGAAAGTGGTATGCTTGCTTCTTACTGCAAATGACCGCAGCAAAATCTTCACAAAGTAGCAAAGGAGATCCACAGTAAAGGGAAGTATGCTCAGATGTTTCTTGTTAAACTGAGCGTCCTGATGCCTGTGGGATGACCTTTTCTCCTGTTTGGAGCTGTGCCTCTCTACAAGCTCTCACATGACACCCACAGATGTGTGGGTGTCATTGAGGAGCGTTGTGTATTGCCTGAATTACAGCAATCGAGGGTCACTGATGCTATGCTCTTAAATTTTCAACAGAGGGCAGAATAACCTGGAATTTGAACAAGTGTCAGAGTGCAAGTTTCTTTATCGCAACCAGACATCTGCGCTGAAAGGGGGAGGAGGGCATGGTTCCAATTACGGGGGGATTGGGGGGGTCTGACACCCCTAGTTAAGGCTTGGACCCCCCCAAAAGATGCAAAACCAGCAGTTCAGGGGGTCTTTCTTACCTGTATTTGTAAATATTGCAATATACTTCCCGTACTCATGCCTTATATTCAAGAATCTTGAAATACGATTTCAGACACCCCTAAAATGGACCGTACCATTTCCTGACATTGACGTTAGTTGAACATCTTGTCTGTCTGCATCACTCGCAGCGCAGCTGCTCCAGTCCAGTGCATCACACGCTAATGGAGACGCAGAAGGTTAATGTCAGTAGTTAACTAGCTGCTTTAATACACTTAACTTTTCTACCTTCAGAGATTCGTAATTAGCTTTTTTTATTTTTAATTTTTTTTACTTAAAATGAGCTATCTGATGTAAGCTAGCTGAGAACCAACCCTATCATTTTAACTATGTAATTTCATATTTTATGTAATTGTCAACACAGGTGTTGAGCAGTGAAATTGGGGATTAGTTATTGTAGAGATACATTTTTACATCAATATAGAGTTTATTATTTCATATTAAGTCTTTTGTGAGTCCTTTCACAATAAACATGGCATTTGTTTCAACTCTGGAATTCTCAAAAATTCCTAATTCCTCAACAACAGTGTATGACTGCTTTATTGGACGCAGATTACATCATTCACAGTCAACATGAGCAAGAGGAAAGAAGATATTTGCTAAAAAAGATTAAGTTGAAACTTTAACTTGATGAGAATGATAAAAATTAGGAATTAGAGATAATAATGCAAACTGTACTTTATGTGTCTTTAGTTCTGTATCAACACTGTGTGGGTTTGTTTTGAGCGGTCATGATGGTCTGTTGTTGTGTGTCTGACTTGCTGGCAGTTTTGCTCTGGAATACTCTGACTACAAAAGTTTTCGTGTGGTATGTATGTATGTCAGTTTCATTTTGTGCAGCTCCAGTAACTTGGACTGCACTCCCAGTTAAGGAGTGTGTTACAGTCAGGCTGTCTTCACAACACAACTTGTACAAAACAAATAATAACAAAGCAAAATGTGCGAGTCCTGAGGCCCTATAGAAAAAAAAAAAAACTTTACAAAACATATAGAAAAACTTGCATGCATGAGTAAAATAAAACTGTACAAGTGGATACTATAGAATTAAGAATAAGAGGAGCTGTTTGCAAGGTGGTTTATTGTCTCAGGTACAGTATTAAAGAAGCCATTTTGCTCACTGGGCTGCAGATGTGAGCTTATATTGAATAAAGGTGTATTATTAATGCCCTGGAGGGCATCCAGGCAGATGTGTTATGAAAAGAAAATCTTCACAGTTTCAGTGTAGTGACAGGATGTTGTACCAATAAAAAGAAGGACCAGTGACCGTTAATGAGAGCTGAGTAAAATTGTTTCACTTTCACTCTGTGCAGTTTTCCCCTGAAAAACGTTCCAGTCTTAGACAAAACGAAACTTACTTCTTTTTCTGTTCCATTGTATACTGCTTTTGGTTTTGCTCTCATCTCTTATTGTCAAGTATAATAGCTTGTGTCTGTACTTAATTTCTTTCACACATTTCCATCTTTTACAGCCTGAGGAGCCTGCTGCCATTGTCTGTAGCCTACCTTGTGTATATTATTTTAGGAAATTACTCTTTGGAAGCTCAGGAGCTAAAGACTACTGAAAGCAAACTGACCTTTGCAGTGCCAAAACCACAAAAAAAGAGCATGTTTCATTTGTAAAACACCAAGCACTCTCTACGAGGAGACACAGATATATTGGATTATTTTGACATTGGCTTTGGTTGCCAGCAGACTTCATCCTCCTGTTAAACTGGGGGAGGCAGACCAGTAGAAGGACATCACCTCAGATGTGTCAAGTTTATAGATTTTCAATGTGCAGCCAACAAACACTGTAAAAAAAATAATCAACATCAACATGTATTTCCTGACAACCTTAGATAAACATTCAGTGACATTCTGTTGAACAATGTCTTGTTGTGGATATTCCCACATGTTGTCTTGTTGCCCAGAGATTATACTATGAAAACAATAATATCTTCACTGCAAAGCAAGTCTGTACACCTGTTACTGCAAAACGGCATGCGTTTGTGGTCAAATCGGGCTTGTCATATGATGGGTTGGTTCCTGAAAAAGGGGGAGAAAAAACAAGTTTGCACTTGAGCTGCCTTAAACAAACTGTTACTGATGAAAGGTCCGAGTTCTTGTTGAGCTTTACCTGCACACTGTGCTGTAAATCACACTGTCGTCACCAGTATGGGAAACCATCTGCTGCTCCCTGCAGGTGATACAGTTTTGTACAACACTGAGCCTCTAATGTGACAGAAATTATTTAAAAATTAACAGTTTAAAAAATATATATCTCACATGTTTGGCTTCCTCTTGGTATCAAAGTCAACAGTTGTGTAGATGACTTCTGCTGTTGTTTCCTCATACGGATTTCCCTCTTGTGACTGGTTATTGTCAAAAACAGGCAAGTTGACATAATTGGCATTCTGAATATAACCACACGTGATGAATTAGTGCAGAACATTGTGCTTCTAATATGTTAAATTTTTCCTTTACATTTCTTCTCTATAGCATGCTCCTTGTTAACCCACAACAAAAACAATCTGTCATCTCTTATCTGATGCACTTGGTGGATTCAGAGAATTGGGACGCGCGCCTAACTCGCTTCTATTAACCCACAGGTTTGCAGACAAGCTCATTGCAACTAACCACTTAACTTGTAATACCCTGCATTCAGTTCACATACAAAATCAGAAACACATTAGAACTGTAAAAACCTCCAATAGTCAATATAATGATAGGGTCACCTGTATGTCTTCATCACAGTCTGGCTCTGGTGCACTTGTCCTTTTAATGTTGAGTCTGAAACACATGAACAGACTTTGGTACATCACCACATGATTGCTGTATATGAGATATATAAATAGTGAATACAGCTTACCTTGTGACAGCAATCACAGTGGTCACAATCAGAAGCACAGCAACAGTGGCAATGAGAATCACATCTCTGGTAAATGTTGGCCAAAATTCTGTTTAACAAGGGCAGGGAGAGCGAGAGCACAAAAATGAAGTCAAATCTAAGTCAGAATATGTGACACAATCAGGGGTGGATTGGTAATCTGGCCGACAAACCTTTGGGGCTGGTGTAAAGTGAATTATTTATTTAGATAACTGTTTTTTAGTAGTGCGAGCACAGGCACCTGAAGGAGTAAAGGAGAGCCGCGGCCACTGCCAGGCAGAGGAGGAGGCGTGTGTTAGCAAAACAGGGGTACAGAGTCCCAGTGACAGGACCGAGGGAGAGAGAGAGCAGGAGGAGAGTGGAGGTGAAGCGGTAAGCATGGAGTAGCTCAACCTGTAGGGAGGGAAGGTCATAGGTGTCATTGACACTGGGGATATGTACCCACCACTTTTTGAAAGTATTTGTTATAATGTTCTGCAAAATAGCTTGCACCAAGAAATGTTAATTAAAAATTAAAATGCTCTGTGAAAGTTTTATTTGCACAATAAGCCAATGCGTTTTAAATATAGAAGAAACATCTGTGTTAAAAAAAAAAGATTTCTGCATTATATTATACTTTTATATTCTGATATTATTTGTCACCTGCCACCTGAATTTTGTGCTTCCCGTTATATCAATAGACATTTACACTATAAATTGGTGCAGAAAATGTCCCCAGAATGCAGGAAATTAAGTGTTTAATGCTCAAAATCCATTTGATCAATAAATATTTTTTCTAAATAGTAGACCTATTAAAATATATACTTGTCTTGTTCATATGATGCCAATCTTGTGCAATGTCACCTCTCGTGGGCTACGTGTTTCGTCACACCCCTAATCTGAGCCCCTAAATGGAAGGATGGTGTATGGTGAGAGGTGTTGGACCGATTTTGGTGGGCCGCCTGGGCCAAAAATGCCAGGGTCGATTTTTTGTCTCAGTCCAGCCCTGGACACAATGTAAGCAATTTTTTCAAAAGTAATTGTTTCAATTAAACTTTTCTGATCATTAAACAACAAAAGCTATGATCATGATTTAATCAGAGACAGACAGTAAAGTGCTAGTAATATGAGAATGTAAATCAACTTACCCTTTATCTTTAGAGTGACAATGGAGGAGTTTTGGCTTCCATGTTTGTTGGAGACGCTGCATAAATACTGGCCATCATCACCAGGGATGAACACAGGCTGGCGTCCAACAGCCATAATATCATCATTATCTATTTTAAACCAAGTATAATTCTCCACTGGGGGGTTTGCACGGCTGCTGCAGATCAGGGTGATGTTACTGCCAGCGTCCACCTCCATCGATGGTCTGACAGACACTGACGTGTTTTTTGGGCCATCTGAAAAAAACCCAGAAGCTGTTAACTGTCAGAAATCATGTGGAAAACTCTCTAATCAATTATTTTGGCATTTGAGTGTCTGCGTTGTGCAAATCAAGAGGGTCATTTACAAAGGATCACTGCATTCAGATACACCTTACTGTAGATTTCGTTTTCATTATATAAATCATAGCTTTCATGTATTTCTCATTCTGTAAAGTGTTCAACTTGTGTCCTGTACTCACATTCAACATCAACATTTATGACTGCTGAAGTTGCTCCAGAGTGTGTCTTTAGAGAACAAGTGTAGTTTCCGGAGTTTGTGGTAGACATGTTGCTTAAATAAAGTACAGGGCCTTCGTTTGTGAGTTCTCCGTTCTTAAACCAGGTGAAAGCAGATGAAAGGTTACCGCCATCACAGCTGTTTGTGCAGGTCAGATTCACATTGGCACCTTCCTTCGTTGTTCCAGACACCAAAACATCCAAATCTAGAAGAGCAAAGTTTCAGTTTCAAACTTCACCAATTGAAGTTTTGATCAGAACTTATGTTCGTATATGAAAAGAAAACTTACCAACAACCTTCAATATTGAGCCAGCTCTACCAGTCCATTTTCCCTCCGGAGAGTTAGTTATAAATCTGAAGGTATACTTTCCTCTATCATCATGCTCCACTTGGTATATTTTCAAAGAACAATTGTGTACTTTGTTGCCAATATACTGAAATCTTGAAGAGTTATCAATCGCCTTGCTATCAAATATGAAAGGACCGACATAGATATTATACCTTTCATGACCCCATAAGACACTTTGCACTATCTGCTTGTCAGGATAGTAAAATGAACAAGGAATGACGACAGACGAGCCTTTCAATGCACAGATATGTTGCTGTAGATATTCCACTTTCCACGGACTGCAGAGAGCACCTGAAACAAATGTTGATGCATATATTATTTCATCCTTTTAATGTTACCTTAAATGATATTTAAATGATGTACTTACCAGACAAACACAATAGCATCAGTGTCCATGTCAGGGTCCTGTGTTCAACATACATGTTGAAACTCTTTCCAGTTATAGCGTTATAGCCAAGTAATCATAAGGCTGCTATTTGATCTAAAAGCTTTTGAAAAGATCTCTGCAGGCTAGTTTGATTGTTTTCTACTCAAAACACAGAATTAGCGTGTCTTATGTCTTCTCCCTCTACTAAGCAAAGCTTCCTGTAATGTAAAGTTTTGGATCGCTCTCAGACTGAAATCAGGTCACACCACAGACTGCACAGGTTATATTTGAACCTTAGCGGTATAATGAAACCAGTCCCTGCAGGTGCTAATGATGTTGCCTTCTTGTTGGCAAAATGGAAAAGAACAGTCACAGGTACTGTAAAATTTTCTTCCCCCAACACAATTAGACAATACTAACCAAGTGTTACTGTACTATATGGAGCAATGACTGCACTCAATTGTTTGAACAATGTTTATCCTATTTAGGTTTATTTCATTTTCCATGTTTAACTTTGGTAACTTGGCGCTTAAATGCAAACTGGTAATCGTCATACAACATGTGATCTATTGCTGAACATACACATTTTATTTTCTGTACCAGTAGGAAAAAAAACCCATCAGCTATTAAAAGGGATCTATACTGGTTTTAAACAACAAAGTTTGTTCACAGGTCTTGGGGAGAAACTATTGCAAAAAAAAAGTTGTAGAAAGCCTCTTGTGGCTCTAGAGGGAGCCGAGCAAAGTCGGATAAATTGCATCAAGTGATGTCACTTGAGTCAGAATCAGTTGGGGCTGAAGACTACAAGTCTGAAAATTAAATAAATCTAGGGCTATGGGGATAGAAGTGAGCTCATCAGCCCTCTCTAGCCCGCTCCTCAACTCTGTCTGAGGTTAGCAGCAACTGTCGGACGTCGAGTTGCATCATAGGTAATGTAGACACCAGGTTTTCAATAAAAAACAAAAATATCAACTGACCATAGTGAGTCAGACTGTGTAATAAACATTCAGTGCTAAATTGGTGCAGTTATTATTTAATTCCCTAAAGGTAGATTACTACAAACGCGCCAGTCGACCATTCTCTTGGTACATTTTGTTGAAAAACAGTTTTAAGCATTGCGCAGTTTTTGCAGTGAAGACTTGTGTGCATTTTATTTCTTTCACGCGTTTCCAGTTTTTACAGCCTGTTTGAACTGTTGCAGTTGTCAGTAGCATAGGTTTACAGTTGGGAATATGATTTAGACAACTCTGAGAGGCTCAGACTACAGAAAGCAACTCAACTTTCTCAGTGCCAAAACCATAAAATCTGAGTGTTTGTCATCTGAAAAACACTGAGCACCAGAAAGCAACAGCCAGTGGGTGTTGACCCAAAGCCAAGGAAAGAAATACAATAATGTGCATTAAAAAAACAATTAGTTTTTCTCTTTGATGAATCCTTGAGACATATTTGACCACTGACATCGATTTTGGTTTCCAGCAGACATCACCCTCTTGTAACGCTGAGTGTCAGTAGGTTCTCAGACTCAGTCGTTCCTTGAATGAAAGTTTTTGCACTTACATTGTTTTATGCAAATGTTCATTAAATGTGTCAGTGTTTCCTGAGCTTTACACACACACTGTGCTGTAAATTATATCTTCATCATTAGGGGAGTCCACGTGCTGCTCCCTGTGGGTGACACAGTCAGTCAGTACCTCAGTCATGTGCCTAGTAAATACAACAAATGTAAAACAAAAAATAAATATAGATGGATAACAATCGTAAAAACATCTCACATGTTTGACTTTTCGTTGCTGAAGTATATGTTTGCATAGATTAGTTCTGTTGCTCCTCCCTGACATTCTTGTCCCCCCTGTGATTGGTTATCACAGATGAGCCAGTTGACATAGTCTGTATTCTGGGTACAGTCAAAGAAATAACACAAGGTTAATTAGTGTAGAACGATGTCCCACTTTTATCCACACATCAAAAACAAAGTCTGTGCGCTCTTATCTGATGCACATCATCATACCTTACATTTGGCACTTAGGATGTGGGTTCAACTTGCCTTTAACCTGCTTAACTCAGTTGCAAACAACATCTGTGCAATTGGCAGCCCTAATTCTAATACTAGAGCGCACTGTATATCATGCATGCCTTGTAGGGCTGGGCGATAAAACGGTAACAATAATTATTGTGATATAATTTTCCTTTAAAAAATACAACAAATGAATGTGTAATTTAATTCATTTGAATCACAAACGAACCAAGACTTTCTATTAAGATATTTATTTTGTTGAGGAAAAAAAAGAACAATTTTATCATTATAATAGTTTTGAATGTTCTTCAGATTTGTGAAGTAATCCACTGTTTGGCAAGTGTTTGTCATGTTCTGACCATGAAGAATAGTTTAAAAACTGGTTTCGTCAACTTTCACTCAGGAACATCTGCCTATAAATTTGAAAGGAATAATGATTTGACATTTATCTTGGTAATTTTCAATATTGACTGTTATTACATAAAGCCATGAAAAAACGTCAGACTGCAATAGAACATGGAAGAGTGAGCTAAACTGTCAGTAATAACAGAACCACCTGTATGTCTTCCTTGCAGTCTGTTCTTGGTTCCCATGTTCTTTTTTTGTTGAGTCTGAAAAAGATAAACAGAATCGTGATCATGGCTATTAAATATAATGAAGGACCTCATTAGCAATCTGTCATACTTCTGCCGCTTCAAGTCATAGTGTCCTTTGCCGACAGGACTTACATGATATCAGTAGGCTACGACAAGGACTTCACCTGAACATAACTTACTTCATTTAGTATGCATGTCTGTATTTGTTTGCCTGGGAGTGCACATGCACTTCCCAGCTGTTCAGTGTCAAAGGAGGAAATCTACTACTTAAAACAGGCATAACTTTCTCAAGGCACAACCATTTATTTTTGCATGTTTGTGGGAAGATGTATGTATGTGCTCAGTTAAAGTGATGGCCTTTTGGCAGACAGCCATAGGTGGCTTTTATGTTAATGTTTCTCAGGGTTTCAATACATGGCAGAACATGTATGAGCTGCATGCTGTTGCCAGTGAGCTTAAAAAGTTCTGATAGCTAAAAGAAGAGTGCAGGTGCAGCCTTCACATTTATCCAAGGCATTCAGATCAGACTTGGGCAGTTTAAAGTGATACGAAAAAGGTTACAGGGTCCAATCGAGTAACATTGCTGTAGTGACTTTTACGTAACAGTGACCAACAGGGTGCTCATTCAGACATGAGACCAAAATGTTACATTGTGGTCAGCTTACCTTCTGACGGCGATAACAGTGGTCCCAATCAGAAGCACGGCAACAGTAGGAAAGAGAAGTACATCTCTGGTAAATGTTGCCCAATATTCTGTGAAACAAAGGTAGTGTGTTTAAATCAGTTGTTTGTTTTTTTACACATTCTGCAGTGGGGTCTGTGGGATCCCAAACAATGATACAATAAAGTCAACGTCAACAAAAGGGTTCACCTTTTAGGATCCGTATAAATAATACAAACTACAATCATCATGATTTAATCACTCGCTAAACAACACAAAGACACTAAACCACCATCAAAGTCAACCATATTAACCTACATACCTTTCATCTTTAAAGTGACAACAGAGGAGTTTTGACTTCCATATCTGTTGGTGGTGCTGCATAAATACTGGCTGCCATCATCTGAACAACACAGGCTGGCGTCCAACAGCAATAACATCATCATCATCTATTTTAAACCAAGTATAATTCTCCACTGGGGGGTTTGCACGGCTGCTGCAGATCAGGGTGATGTTGCTGCCGGCGTTCACCTCCATCGATGGTTTGACAGACACTGACGTGTTCTTTGGGCCATCTGAAAAAAACCCAGAAGCTGTTAACTGTCAGAAATCATGCAGCAAACTCTCTAATCAATTATTTTGGCATTTGAGTGTCCCACCGTACTGTAGATTTCCTTTTCATTATCTAAATCATAGTTTTCATGTATTTCTCATTCTGTAAAGTGTTCAACTTGTGTCCTGTACTCACATTCAACATCGATATTTAGGACTGCTGAAGTTGTTCCTGGGTGTGTCTTTAGAGAACAAGTGTAGGTCCTTCATTTGCGGGTTCCCTGTTCTTAAACCAGGTGAAAGCAGATGAAAGGTTACCGGTATCGCAGCCGTTTGTGCAGGTCAGATTCATAGAGTCTCCTTCTTCGTTGTTCCGTTAGGTTTTGTCACCATAACTTTCAAATCTAGAAGAGCAAAGTACTGCTTCAGTTTCAAACTTCGGGGGGCTGCAAGTCAAGGTTATCTAAAAACAAAGAAAACAACTTACCAACAACCTTTAAATTTGGGCTAACATTACCAGGCCGTCTTTCTTGGTGGTAAATCTGAGTGTGTATTTTCCTGCATCATTATGCTTCACTTGGTCTATTTTAAGATAACAATTGTGATGTTTATCACCAATATACTGAAATCGTGCAGTGACTTTTCTTAAATAGCTGTCAAAAAATGAAACAACCTCTTTACTATCAGGTTGTCAGGATGGTAAAATGAACAAGGAATGACAACGGACGAGCCTTTGACCGCACAGATACGTTGCTGTTGATATTCCACATTCGGCGTATTGCAGAGAAGACCTGAAAGAGATAGATTCACTTATACACCTCAGGAATTTTATCATTTGGTTAAAACATTAAATGAGATGTAAGTGTTGTACTTACCAGCCACAAACAGTGGCATGAGTGTCATTGTCAAGTTTCTGTGTTCTATGCACATGTTTCCAGTTACATTCAAATCATCAAGTTTGCAATTGATGTGTAAGACTGCAGGAAATGTTGATGTTCTATAATATAGTGAGTGGGTTTTAGCTTTATCTGCTTCTTAACGCCCTAACAAAGTTCACAGCCTGTGAAATTTAGGTCACATATACCACAGTCAGTTCGCCGCTTCAGTTCAGAGAAACATGAAACCGGCCCCTCTATGAAGAAAACCTGTGTCCTGTGCACATGTCTGGTACTTTGTTGTGGTCAAAGCGCAGTCAGATCAGAGTTGGCACTCTTAGACTTTATGGTTTTCATTAAATTTGATGAGACAATGTACCGACCAACTGTCACCATGTGTGCCATTTGGTACTTTTAATAGTTGGTCACAAGAAAAGAATAGTTTAACTTGTGAACGTTCTCTTGGCCTGCACGCTCTTCAATGCGCCAAACACTGACATAGCCTATACATATATTAAAAAAAAACAAAAAAAAAACAAAGAGCTGATGCAATCACTGTAAAATGAAACCTAGGAGCTTGTTTTTTTTATGTCACTTGCGGCTCAACAACACTTCAACATGCCTGTGATTCGAGTCTGAATGAGTCACCTGTGTACACATTTTGGGAGTACTTGTACATGTTTGGGTACTGTCACACTGCCAATATTTATTGTAGGCTATAAATCTCTATGAATGAAGAATTATTTCATTTAAAGGCAATAGTATCAGTTACCCTAAATTCACTAGGCATTAAGACTTATTAGACTTTCATTGGAATATTTCCGAACTTTTTTTAGAAAAAAAAAAAAGATTTCATGACAGAATTGATGCCTTTATGTGGAACATTTTATGATAAACGATGATAGACACATTTCGGGCAAAGCTCGCCAGGAGGAGTTGATTATTCTGGAGGTGTGTGAATGGCCCACTCCAGGGCAGTTTTCCTTGACGAAATTGGGGGACGGTCAATAAGTCCATATAAAGTAGACTCTCACAGCGAGGATACAAGCAGCGAGCGGTGACAACGAGGACCAGTAAGACGTGCTAGACATGGAGATGCTCGCTAAACTCGTGTTCCCCATCGTGATAATCTCCGTGCTGGTCGCTTGCAGTCCGGCGGAGGCATGGTACAAGCAGGTGGCCGGTCCAAGTTACTACTCGGTGGGCAGGGCGTCCGGCTTGCTGTCCGGTATCCGGAGGTCACCATACGTCAGAAGAGCAGAGCCGGACCCGTCAGACAACGGGGAGTCTGCGACCAACAGCGTGTTTGAAGTAACTCCGCAAAATTCCATCCTGAAGACAATGGTCAGTGCTCATCGATTTGATCAAGGCATTATGGGTGGATAGGATTGCAATTAGGCTAGGTATGGAGACTTGTAGTTCGCGCACAAGCGCTTTTTGATCCATGTTTAAAGTCTGTTTTAACTTTTTTAGCATTTTTTTTCAGCTATTGGTTTCCTTTAACTAACAGTCTGAAAACAACTCCCCCCATCATCGCATTCAGTAGTTTAGAATGAGCTCCGGCTATAGTTTGTTGTAGCTCTTAGCGCATTAAGACTAAACACGTTGCTTAAGGCTTATGGTGACTTCAGTCAGGACAGAACTGTCCAGTCAGCACCAACGATTCACTGCACAAAATTGTAAAGAAACCAGGATTTATAACAACGATGGTCTTGGGATTTACACTGTACAAAGATTTATCAGATCCTTTACCCACAACAATATAATTCCACTTAGTTACAAGTAAAAGTCTAACATTCATGACCATTGTGAAATTAGATGATTTAGCTTAGTACTATATTCATGGAGAATTACTGATAGATATAAGTTACGCATTTTTCTGTATCTGCTGGAGATCGTGCTAATTTTAACTACTCCACATAATTTCTGGGTAGGTTACATAATAATGCATCACACCTTATACATTCTTTATATTGTGTATATAAAATCTTAACCCACCAAGTTACTAGCAAGTACAACTTTCATTAATCTAGTGAAGTACAAAGTGCAGTATTCCCTCTGAAACGAAGTGGAGAATAAAGTAGCATAAAATGGAAACATTGATGTATACTAGAAAGTTGTGCTATTGCGTGTAATGCATTTTCCTATTGAATTTGCTGTTATGACATGACAGGGGACAGGGACCTATTGGGGTGATGTCCATACAAATTCAGTTGTAAAATTCTCTGCAGGAATATTTGCTGGGATTACAAACTAATGTAGGTTAATGGCATTATTTTTCTGTTTCTCTCCCACCAACAGCCTGTTTGTATCAAAGACATTACACCAAACCTGCAGAGCTGTCAACTGGTCCAGGAACTCAAAGGTTCATTTAAGTGCAAAGCAGAAGTCTTCCTCTCTCTGGACTTCTCAGACTGTGCAAGAGACTGAGCTGTATACCCGGCAGCTGGGCTGGATAATAAAGCCTACTTCTTGAAGGCCTGACTCTAAAATAAAAATAAAACTGTTCATTTCTCTAACTTCATGTTTAACATTGGTGTTGCACTAGATGGTAGACCTGCTATTTTTAGTTTACCATTTCACCAATTTATTTATTGATTTTATGATACATGTATTAATTTTAATCTGTAAATGTATCAAGTACATATTTGATCTGAGTTTTCATTAATAAATGAATCATATTGCAGCCCCTTGTTGAAATTACTGAATGCAAAACACATTACAGTGTAATGATTTTTCTTCTCATCTACACCGATAGCAAAGAATCCAGCAAGTGATTTAGTTAAGATAAATGTCAAACACATAACTGAACAATCAAACTGGTAATTAATTCAGTTGTTGGCGATTTAGAAGCATTAAATGTGTCAAGAGAAGATTTAAACCATGAAAACACTGACTAAAATGGGTGCATTTTTCAAAGTTATAACAAATACATAAACATTTTATTTAAAATATTTTAAAATAAATTGGGGAAAGTGCAGTTTAAAGAACTTTATTATTATATTAAGCTGCATAAATAAGTTTAAAAAAAAGTTTAAAATGACTGCACTGAGTAACTAAAAACTACTAAACAGCCTTGCTGAGACTTTTACAGCAACTGGACAGCTATTAGGTTCTCCTTGATAGTCTGCTCTATGACCATGTGGAAGACCACCTGTATGTTACTGGTGTCTATGGCAGAGGTGAAGTGGTGGTACACGGGTTTGTCAGGACTGCTGTTACATGATGAGAACATGGCAGCGATGTGCTGGGCTGCAGCATCCACATCACCATCTGCTCCTGGATGGGGATGAAAAATGATAAATACATCTCTTACTGAGATCAGTAATGTGAGGAGTTGGTTTCAATACTGCCGAAACTACATTGTCGGTCTAGTTCATTAAGTATTGATAAAACGAAACACTGGCTTCCAGTGAGAATCTGGACTGTAAGTTTTCCATCTCAATACCCCAATAAAAACATGACCGTTTGCTTCTCAGTTGCTGTGAATGAGTCTGAAATATGTGTGACCATGATCTACCCAGAATGAATGATATGTAGCAACAGAGGACTGTGTGTGAATACTTTGACAACATCAGGCCAGAAGGAATTCTGATTACCCAATGGACAGCAGGGATGCAGTCAAGACACCATCCAGCAAAACAATAAAGAGACATACATACAAACAATTCCATTCCATATAAGATTTTAAATAAATCATGTCAACTCTGGAGTAGTAAGAGTTGAGCAAGAACTGGAGTATCCCATGTCAGCAGTATATACTTCAGTTTCATCTTCACCAATGTCAGTTTCTCAACATTGGGGTAGTTGCAATGTAAATGGGAGATTCCCAGGACCGATATTGTATTTGTTTTGTTTTTATTAAAGATTAACAAAATAGGTTTAACATCCATCATGTGTTTATATTCAGATTCACAGGGAAATTCATCATACCAAAAAATATAAGGCAGTCATCTCCTACATACCTTTATAACCAGAAAGGTAAAATCTCAAGTGTCTGCCAGAGAGTAGGATCTTCTCCCGGAAAAGGTCAGTTTTGTTCATAAGCAGAATCTGCGAGAGAGAGAGATGAAAAAAAATAATAGCGATCCTTTTCAAATAACCCTCCAGTTGATACCTTTCAGTGCAGTTCCTCACAACATGTCTCATGGGTTTAAAATGTACCACATTCACAACACCTAGTACCAAGTATCTGTAATAAATAAAATAACTCTGGATGGGGATTACACACACACACACACACACACGTACGTGCTACTGACCAACAACTTAGTCATCCATGCTGATGTAAATATCCCCACAAACTCACAAGATGAAATAAATTAAAGTAATTACACAGAGTGTAAAACCGTGCTCGCAGCCAACTTACTAAGACAGAAATTACCTGCCTTAAATCTCAATTAGACTTTTTAAGCCAATTATGTATGTCACACACAGTCAACACCAGTTTGTGTCATTTCTGCTTGGCATGAATGATTACCAAGAGTCACTCAGTGCTTTAGTCACCTCAATACATTTAGATGAGCTTTAAAAACAGACAGTGTGTGCATAAGACACAGGCAGAGGTCATCAAAACAAAACTCCAAATTGATACTATATTGTATTTTAAGCACATTCATCAAAAATAAACTTACCAGCGAGGTGCTCCTAAAGACTGTGTTGGTGCAAATGGATGTAAAAAGTTCAAGACTTTCCTGCAGACGATTCTAACGAGGGGACAAACGGAAAAGTAGAGATAGATGTAGTTTGCAATTAAAGACATCAAAATCTCAGTGTCCATTATGCCGAGAAAAGACATTACATTTCATTTGTGATTACAATCAATTACACTTTTTCATAACATACCCCAGAAGAGCTCTCCATCAGTGTCCTATCATAGCTGCTGAGGGCCACAACAAACAATACAGCCTGAGTACAGTCAAAGCAGCTGAGCCACTTCCTCCTCTCACTACGCTGGCCGACATCATACAGTCTGTCAACAAATAAGCAAAACAAAATCCATTTATGCTTTATTCACCCAGGGAGTCTTCTGCTCTTCCACTGGATAGCCCATACCCTGCAGAGACTGGTCACAGGAATAAATAGTTGTAGAAAAGGAATAAAGTTGTTTAAGTAAAAATATTACATGCAAGTTAAATCTAAATATATTCCCTTAAATTGATGCCACTAGTCTTTTGAAAGGCCTCACTAATCTACACCAGTAAAGATTTTTTTTTTTTTTTTAAATTATCTTATTATCATCATCAGGCAGTATCTGTTATATTAGGGAATAGCATTACATTCAAACCCATTTCAAATATTGGGGCAATCCATTTCAAAATCCGATCTGGCACTAAGTGAAGCTGAGGGTCTTGGTGACACAGGTAATGAGTTCCCACTTGGACGGACAGTCTCCAGGTGCATGATTGCGGTACTCATGTCAGACGTAATGAAGCGTTTATCCCCTGGGTCAAGAGTCAGCTTTAAACAAGCTGGTGGACGATACGCATTAACTGTGGCATCTGACAGCTGGAGCTTCAACGCTGCAGGAGCGAAAATCATCACTCAAGGCTTTTATGGGTTTTTTTTTTCCAGGTTTAGTGGCAGAGCAAGATCAGACCTGAAAACTGGTATAACTCACAAGACCTGAGGAAATAATGGTATTTAGCAGAATCAGCCCAAGAGATCTGACTGAAGCAGTTTCAGCCATGCTTAGCTACAGTTTTGCAAGTTTTCAAGAAAATATAAAATTTTTATTTATTATTATTAAAAAGTTTTTAGTAAGCAAGATAACCTGAATAATCAAACATACTATTACTACTATTTACATGGTCTTCCAAGTTTGGCTGGTTTATTATTCTGTGCCATCAGTATGGAAACCATCCTTGAATACCTTGAACCACCTCCATACTTTGACTACAATTCTAAAACATTATACCTTTGCAGATCACCATGCATCAGTTTCATCTTGAGATTGAAGAAAATGTTACCGTGTATTGCAAGGATTTCTAAATGTCACAGCTACAATATTATGTTTTGTTGCATGTAAATTGTCAGATTCAGAACATTTCATAAAGTGAGGCAGGGTGACTAACATTTCTAACCTTGAAGCTACAGCATATGCAATATTCACAAAGTCCTGGTCTGTATAGATTCTATTCCTCACAGTGACCCATACAGCGAATGCTGTCAGATGGTTTATTACTCTGAAAACAAATGTTTAAAGGGAAGAGGAGGGTGGGGTTTCAATATTTCATTGCTTTGCTTCCTCAACATTTATATTATTCTTGGAATAACCAGACGTGGTGAAGCCATCAATATTTCACGACAGAGTCATGCCCAGTCAGCCTCCCTCAGCTTTCATCAGGGACCCTTCAAGAGTTGGTGGTGAGCCTCCAGAGGCTCAACAAGCTGCTTTCCTGGACAGCAGCACGTTAGTGTTTTTATGTCAGTGAACAGTAACTCTGAAGGAGAAAAAAAAATAAATAAAAAATCCACATCCCAAACTCTTAAATGGACCGTGAAATGTTTTTTTGTTTAACCCAAATTTGATATCATAGTCGCCATTTTTAAGTTATTTATTTATGGTTGATCAATTCCATGCTCTCTCCCTCTTACGCTATGAACTGTCCAACAAAAAGGAGACAAAAATGCAGAATTACCATAAAAAAAGAAAAGAAACTACACCTTTTAAAGAACTTCAAAGCCTTCTTATTTACATGCTTCCGTTACCAAGCAAGCTAATCACCAACACATCCAAATGTCACCACCGTGCTCATGACACGCCTGTGCATCTGCACACCCTGGTATAACACGTAACAGGAGCAAAATGGAAAAAAACCAAAAAAAAAAAAAAAAACACAACTTTAAAACTAGCAACACATTCCAGGGAATATCTGCTACACCACCAACAACTTCCTTTTATGCATCTACACACATTATACCGTTGTTTATGCATCTACAGGCACATACGGAGACACATTATGCACCATATAGCCTACAGTCTAGTAATGTTTTGTGTATGTGTGTAACTGCATGCTTCTGGTTTTAGTGTCCATCTCTAACTGCACATACTGCGGTGAGTGTCTATGCAGAGATGTCTCCTTGGTTGCATTAAATGTTGCTTTCAGGTTTAATATCTAGCTTAAAATGAAAAATGTCTTTAGAATTGGATTTTCAAGCGATTATGTATATTTAACAGTGCTATAACATCAAAAGCTTGACTGTTCATGCAAAGGTATAAGATGCAATGAGTACAGTTGTCCCTTGAAAGTAAAGGAAGATGAAATATTGTTTTAATATTAACCATGCATATTCAGGAATTCAATTGTCTCCATCATAAATGAAAAATGTGATTTCAGGGAGCTTTCAGTGAACCCTAATGTGAATGATTTAAGACTTCAGCTTTATGAAGTCAATACACAGCATTATGTTGGCACGGGTCTATGTCATGTGCAACCACTGCTGAATTGACACTGCTAGTTTTACCAAAGTCTTACCGAAAGATCATTTCATTTAGGTGAAACTGCGTCTCAACGATTCCACAAGTCCTCACTCTCACTCTCAGAACATCTGTCTCAGTGGGAACGTATTTGGGAGCGATGATTCGACTCATGTTCTCAAAGAAACTGGAGAGGGAATAGGAAGAGAATTAGAAACATCACTAACTGATGAGACTATAACATTTCCATAAGCAAAATTGTGATCAGATACACATCCTGTGTTTGTTTGCTAGCTCTAGTTCTTACCAATATCAGGCCAGGACACCTTTGGGCTTTTTAAAATGGAAGTTGTGACATGATGTTTTTAGGCTTTATGACACGGTTTAATGGAATTTGATCATTTTGAAATAGCGGTAAAACTTAACTTCTCACTGGCACGACCAAGCTTCCCTTTCCTTTGAGCAATTACTCAGCTAGTGTCTACAGTTATGGTCAGAAGTTCTTAGAATCACACAGAATGACAAAGTATTGGTTTTCACGAAGTTTGCTGCGTCCACATTTCATTATGGTCAAAGGCTTTTATTGACAATTACATTCAGTTTATGCAGGAGTCAATCGCAGTGTTGCAAGGAGGGACTTTGCAATTAATTGCAATTCATAACATTCTGAAGTATATGCAAATTGCCGTCATAAAAACTGAGGCAGCAGACTTTGAAAATTAAAATTTGTGTCGTTCTGAAAACTTGACCACAACTGTACACCCAGTTGCCAGAGCTAAAACTAATATAACAGCCTACCTCCATGAAGGGTATACTGTTCACTTGTTCAAACTGATTAAGGAGGTGTTGATTCAACGTTACGGTCATTTGGAGGCTGTAAGTTGGAATGACAAAGCATTTATACCTGCTGAGTTCAATTTGACAAATGTCCTCTCAACAGCAGTGACTTCAAGTCAATTAAGCAAGGGTTGATTAGAAAGGATTCCTAAAAATACAGGTTACATAGATATTTAACTTCCTGTAATGACAAATTTCGTTTAAGCAACATTAACCGCTCAGTTCATGCCAAAGCTAATGTCCGAGAAGTCGTTTTATACATTGGTGCCTTCAGGTCCAGGTGTAGTCAAGTGTGTCACGACTCAGTCTAATCCAATATTTCTGGAGGGAGAAATCAATGTGGGGTGAGTGAGAAAACTGAAAGAGTGCTAGCTGAGTTTTATATCATCCTCCAGCTCCCAACCTTATCGAGTTCCAATAATGAAGCTGTCACATGCTCATCTTTCTCAGTCTGGCCGGTTGGAGTACGTTTTCACTTGGCAGACCACCTCCCTGTTCCCTCAGAGATAAGGACTCCTACTCAGTCCATTTAAAAGATTAAACTTACTGAAAAGAAAAAAAGAAAAATCCAACTTCAAAAAGACTACACGCAACTGCCACAGGTCACAGTAGATAATTTTGTGTTTTGTAAGCGATGCAAATTCAAGTAGCGGCTTAATCACAAACACCAAAAGGCATCTTAATTTGAGCAATGCAGGTAGGTCATTCAATTAGCAGCGGATAGCTTTAAAGAGGTCTGACGATCACCAAGTTCTGAGTGTTATTTTCTGATACCTACTTAATGTGCCAATTTCCATCTTGTAATTTCCTATATTTCCCAGAATACTTCTTAAAAAAGAAAGCCCACTAAAAACTGAGCCTCACCTCTTGTGCTGCATTATAAACACTGAAGTTATTTAACATTAACTTCAGTGTTTATAATGCAGCACAAGAGGTGAGGCTCAGTTTTTAGTGGGCTTTCTTTCTTATTGTTTATACTCCGCTACATTTCAGAGTGGAATATTGTACTTTTATGTTATTTATCTGACAGCTAGCTCGCTCATTCATTATATATATATATATATATATACACACACAAAAAACAAAACAAACACTGTACTTGAGTACTACATGTTTTAAAAAATGCTTTAAAAAGTGGATAAAGGGGCAGGTAATTGTTTTGAGAATTGTACAAAGAATTGTAACATTTTGATAAATAAAATCACTTCATAGTTGGCATGAAACTAAACACCCAAAACAATAATGCCATTTAGAAAAATGTATTCCACCCCGCAGTGACCAACGATCCCCACTTGAGCTGATGATACAAACACAGACTCAACAAATTATATATGCAGAGTAGTGTGTTCAGATTTAATGACACTGTACAGGCTGCTTTTTTATTATTCAAAAAGGGCACAACAGCTAAAGGACAGCAACTGGAAAAAACAGTTCCGTCTACATAAATTTAAAATATCCCACACAGAGAGAGGTAGGGGTGTGTGTGTGTGTGTGTGTATACTGGCTGTATTCCAATAACTTCTGCATGGACATAATTTGCAGTGAGATGTATTGTGGGAAAATGCAGTTAAATAAAAAGCGTCAAGTTAAAGCTAATGCTACAGATTCAACCAATCCTCTACTGCAATTCCCCCCTAACTTGTAGCTTCATACATATAATGCTATTTGACTTCTTACTCATTAAAACAAGAAAACCCGACTCTTTCATGTCTGTTTCATCTCCTCCACCCTAATTCCCACCTTGCTGGATATCTGCAAACAGTGCTTTTTTTAATTTGGTGCCAATTAAGCCTCCCATTCCACAAATGTCACAGGAATCATTTCCTGAAGATGAGTTATTCTCAGCACTTGCTGTACTGTTGCTCTGTATTGATAAGATGTAACGACACCTTTCTTACTGGGCAATTTCCCTTGACATTTCCAGTCAGTTAGTCATAATTGGGGGCGGTGTTGTGCAGCATAGATCACTTAAGGTCACTGTACTCACTAGAGTGCCGAGTCATTCAGCCCGAACTCGTAACCTCTGGCCGCGACTGCTCTCACCCCTTGGTCAGCCCAAAGTGCACAGAAAGCATGAGCCACAAAAGGAAGCAGCTCCTGGTCGTCCCCCAAACACTGACTGCAGGACAGGATGGAGCGGGCGTGGATCTAAATGGTGCAATAGATCATCAGAACAGGGCACTTTACATTTCTATACAAAGTACAGGACAGTAAATGTGTGAATGTTTTCTCCTCCAAAAGGTAATGCACTGCAGACTGCCTGCAGGTACAAACAGATCAATACATCTTATGCCTTGCAAGATCAGAAGACTTATGACCACCAGTCTCTATCAATCATCTCTACCGACTACGTGTGTTGTATACAGATGAAAGACTGACATCTAGTGTGATAAAGAGGGGCTGCAATGAAAAGCGGGATTCCCGGATTAAAGCGATTTGATGAAACTGTCTCTCAACAGGACTCTTGATCACTGCTTATCACCTTGTTGTTCTTGTTAGCAAGGTTAATTCTCAGCATGCCCATTCCTTGTAGAACAAACTTCATAGAGGTCAGCAGGTTGTCTAGCACTGCGGGCTGAGGAGGGAATGACAGCAGACATTTTGTCATTTAAACTGATGCTGCTGTCTGTGATGCAGAAAGTTGTTTTTTGGCTCAAGCAGCTTTAATATTTCTGGGGTGACAATAAATGCTCCATTTGCTTCACAGCCGCCCCGGTACCTTGAAGCTGATGAGCTCCTGTTTGGAGAAGCCGTGACTGTGGATTATCTTCATCTGTTTGATCAGGGTGCTCTTTCCGCTTTCTGCTGCTCCTGAGAGCCAGAGAAATGTTTTCACTTCAAAATGTCAATACTTCAGTGACAAAAGGCACTTAGATTACTGTAGTTTAACTAACCAAGCATGAGGATTTTCACCACATTCATCTCAGTCCTGGAATGTTCACAAAGGTCGTGCTCTATTTTAGAGCTCTGGAGTTTAGCCTTTTTACCCTCCTCTGTGATTTCCTGGTGAAGGCACATTCCCATACAGATCTAAGGAAGAATTTAATGCTTTCAGAAGCTACCTGGATGCTTTGAGACTATAAATCGCTGATTGCAGAACATGATTGCTATATGGCATTTCATAAATGAGATGCATCACATTAAATGCTTTAGAATATAACACCAACTAAAAATGCATAGAAAGTCCTCAGACATAACAGTTTCCTAAGCACTAGGACTACAAGAAAGTAATATTAATGTTAGTTTTTTATACATTCTTAGTCTGAAGATATGAAACTATAACGTTATGCTTAAAAGAAGCCAATGGTCTATTTAGCTCCCATATTTGTAGGTTAATTAGCGTAATTCTATTAAATTGTGTGACAAATATCCATTAAATAACTTGTAAACAGCCAAAACTCAAAAGTAGTCCATTAAATTAAGAGAGAAGAAGAAACCCTTTGAATGTAAATATGTTTTTCCCATTTTTAATAATACTGACTGAGCATCATTAAGGATTAACCCATATCCATTTAGACTGAATGACACGAAATGTTGCACAGGCCTATTTGAAGCAAATTAAACAGTCTCATTTTGAAATGAGTTGAAAAATTCAATCCATGTACCTGCAGTGGGGCTGGCAGTATACCGAGACAGCAAAACATTGCTCTGCTTTTCGCTCTGCTTTTTGCTCTGCACGCAAGTGTCGCCAGTGTCGCCTGACTCACAGTCTAACAACTGCTAACAAAACGTGTTAGCAAAAAAAAAAACACAAAAAACCCCCCCACTGTGCTAATTAGCTTAATTGGTGGCACGTGCGCAGGGCTTGTCATTTAAACACGAACTGCCTTTCTAGCACGTTTGTTAAACAAAAACCACTGGGGAAAACGCCTTTATTTTGTTGAAGACATATTTAGCTATGATGTTTGAATATTTTATATGCCTAGCTTGATTAGGATAATGTTTAACATGTTTATGAGAATGATGTTTAAGGTGTTTATTGAAAGTTTTCTGGCTCAGCCTTATCACTCTCAGCATGTGGCCTTCACATCTTTGTAGGGAGACACAGACTTCAGAATTCACAAGAACACACACACACACCAGTCAAGAAGTGTTGGCTGAAGGGGAAGTTAGGGTGACCACCATGATCCTAAATTAATTAGACATACAAATGAGAGACATTGAGGTGGATTCTCACATAAAGTTGATAGCACCAGGGTCCGGGCTCCATAAGAGTAACCTAAGATGCACCTGTGTTCATGTCGATGTTAACTCTTTGTCTTATGCACACACTTTTTGCTAATGTGAAGATGATGTCACATTTCAGTCTATTTCTTTATAGATGTTTATGTCTTTAGAAGTGTTGAAGTGCTCCCGGGACCAGCTCGGATACACATGTATTTGCTGTTTTTGTTGATTTGCTTGAAACTGTCACTAAACTTGAGTTAATTTGAGCTTTACTGGAATCTGTGTCTCATTGAAAAGAAGGACAACAGTTCATCTAAGTCTACATAATAGTTAAACCCAAGAGTTTAAAGAGTGACAATGAGGGCCCGTTAGGCCTCTTGCTTGGTCTGAGGTTTATAATCTCCCACAGAACGTCATGTTCATAACATTAGCTGCTTGCAGTGGGGGAATGAAAATGAAAAGTAGCTTACATTTACTCAAGTACTATAACAGTTGAATGTTGTGATATTTCACTAGCATAATTCCATTTCCTGCTTGAAGACATAAAATATTGCTTGCAGGTATCCATATTAATGAGTCACTGATAAATAGAGATACACTGATTGTGGCCATTTTGCACAATTAGTATTTTTAGTTTTGATACTTATACTACTTATACTATATTTTAGCTGTATGTAATATCTTTAATACAGGACTGATTGATTCTTTATTGTGGTATTACTACTTTAGTATTTCATGATGAATGAATGTCTCCAACATGCACCTAATATTGTGATGCTGTAAGAATCAAATAACTAAAATGTTTTCACATTACATCACAATACAAATGACCTTTTCTTCTATAGCCTCTTTTTTTTGAAAAAGCTTACGGAACTTTGCTGGGTACCAATCTACTGCTAAAATAATCTACTCTTAATGGCCTGACATTTAACAATCTCTCTGTGTGACTCATTCATATGTTGCAAAATTCAGACAAATTCTTTTTCTGATCAAAGTTCATTTCTGTGTCCAAAACATTTAACCTTTCATAATGTGACTCATGCACAGCCTGCTCACTTACCTCAGTTACTAAAGAAATAAATTAGACATTACAATCCTTCTACATCCAGGTATTTTCTGTTTTATAGTGAAAAGATGACAAATAGCCTTTCAGATTAAAATGTTATTATTATCAGCAATAGTAAACTGTAGTCCAATCAGTTTCTACAGTAACTGGGTGTCAATAATATACAGATCATAGCCTACACTGAATACATTCCAACTTCACATACAGACATTATTATGCTTTTTAAAACAATATGAAAACCATCTATACAGTAGTTAATGGAGAGGAGGTGATTAAAATATACATCTACAAAAAATATATTATTTAATCCCATTTGACAGACAGAGGTTAAATTGTTCAGGGCTCAATGACAGTAAGAGGCCTATTTCATGATCAAGTCAACACTGAGCATCTGTCATAGTTCTCTAGTTATATTAAGAAAACTAAAGGTTAAAACTAGTATGTTAAAACACTGTAGTGTTCTCTATATTAGGATACATCTAAGGAGTGTAGGTCAAAAAAAAAAATGCAATTGCACTCAAACAGGCCAGGTGTGAAGGTCTCAACAGTGTGCATTTTTTTAAGAGTTAAAAACCTGCTCTACCGATAAAACAGAACAGTTCTGATGATTTCTGAGTCAGTGCAGTCTGATAGGAGCAAGGTCTGATATGTACATGAGGTCCCGTAAGAGTCCATCAAATCGCCAACACATTCTCACGCCCAAACAACCCAACTAAGATGCACAGAAGCAGGGGCATTTTCTCCCCTGATTTTCTAGTGGTTTTGGCATCCTTCATACAGCCTGTAATCACTACATACAGTATATACAAGGATAGATCAGTTGTGGGGCCATGCCCATAGCTGGGCAGAAAGCAGCGACAACCCCACAGAAATAACTAATCAAATCACTTTGTTACAGTTCAGTGCCTACACTTGCCCGTTTTATGTCCAAATCCTCTGATATAATACTTAAAAATAAAAGGTATTTTTCTTGAAGGCAAAAAAAAAAAAAAAAAAAAGTACAAACACAAAAAAAATAGAGATTTTGAAGACATCGATAGCGCCCTTGCTCCCACTTATTTCCATTGTTATGTCCATGATTCAATAGTTAGACATCGGTCTGTGTGATTGCTGACTTACATGAACATGTAGTTGCATATATGCAGAATATATGAATACACAGAAGATCCACACACACACACACACACGCACGCACACACGCACTGTATACCTGATGATCCCACAGCAGACTACGCTGCCCTGGCTATAGATGGGCTGCTGTAAGGACTGCTGTTATTAGCTAGGATCGTGTGTGGAGGGTGTCATAACGTATAAAAGGGCTGATTTTACTGTACATGACTTTAGATTAATTGAGCTTGTCAGTGTTATGTTGTTGCGTAGCTGATGGTGCTTGTTTGGTGCCTTCCTACACCACAGCCCGGGCTCTTTCTTTAGTCTTTTCCTCCTCTTGTTGCTTCATGGCCTGGATCACAGCAATCTCTTTGGCCTCTTTCTTCTGGTTCCTTGCTTCAAATAGCAATCTGAATCAAATAAAGTCATTTGGAAAAGGTGATCTAATATATTTCATATTGCAGCAGTGAGCAAACTATGTCCTATATGTTTTACATTAGAAAAATACAGTTATAAATTTGTCTATTTCTGCCCCACAGCTGTGGATTTTCCTTGCAGTTGACAAGAATGTTGCCTTTACCTGTTTTTAATTATCCTTTGCACAATGGCATCAGTAGTGAGGCTGTTCCCACTGTCAACAGTACGCAGGATACCTTTCCTCCTAGGCTCCTAGATATGAAGAAAATATTGCCAAATGAATAGGATTCCCAATCTCTGTGGGTTACAGTATTTCATGGAGGATTTTTTAAAAGTGTTTTTAGAGTCTTACAGCATACGGGTCAGATCCATCCTTGTCAGGATATATTTCTGTCTTTCCATGGCATACAAGATCCACCTGTGGATATATAAAAAAAAAAAAAAGCGCAATTTTTTTCTTTTTCAATTGCAGAGTACATAATTATCTAGAGGTGAGATAATTGTATTGCCTGTACTTACCTTGAAATGGTCCAGCAAATCTTTTGTGACTGCAAAGGGTGCACCAATCACCACTTCTGACACATACTGTGGAAGGAGTCAAAAATCAATCACACAAAATGAATTGTAGAGAAATAAATAAGATATATACGTGCTATGCACGGGGTTGATGGTGAAAGAGCAAGAAGAAGAACCCACTTGACAAGCCAGGACACTGAGCGTTCTCTCATGAACATTCATGATGGGGTAGTTTTTCCCTTTATAACGGTTCACCTCCTGAAAAATATGAACAAAGACAAAATGTATAACAAAATGTCTACACTCAGGGAGGCAGTAAATCCATCGCACAGATGCTAAAGAGCACAAGGAGACTCACCTGATCAAAGTGCAACCCCACTATAATGTATGGCTTTACGGAGAGCTTATGCACTGCTTCTAGGAAGTCCACATGGCCAATGTCTGACAGGAGCCTGGTCAAGTACTCTACTTAAGTACAATTTTGAGGTACTTTCATTTTATGTACCTTTATATTTCTACTACACTATTTCAGAGGCAAATGTTGTACTGCACTACATCTGTATGACAGCTTTAGTAACTAGTTACTTTTTGGATTACAATTTTTCATACCCCTTGTTGTGGTGGCAGCCCGGCTGACGGTGAGTGTCCTGTTAATTTCTCCTTTTTTGCATTCTGTTTTCCCCCTGCATTTTGCCTGCCTCTCTGTGTCTCCTCTGCTCCCCCTGCATGTGCTCTCCCTCTCTGCTCCTGAGCCCAGCTGACGAGCCACACCTGCACCTCATCATCCAGCTCCTCTGCCTGCCACACCTGCCAGCAATCAACTCCATCCCTGCCTCAAGCTTTCTGATCTTGCAACATCTCTGTTCCCCGTTCTCTGGTTTCCCATTATTAACCCTGTCTGTCTTTCTCCAGGTTCACTCACCTCCGTCCACTGTCGAGTCAGCTGGGCTCGCCTACCTGCCCTCTCCCCTCAGGTGTCTTCCACAGCATCCTCCCGGCTCCCCCTCATGCCTCGCAGTCAGCCTGCCAACACACTCCTCCACCAACCCCCGGTCAGTTCTCCCGTGCCTACTCTCTTCCTCGGTCCCCGGTACCCCCCAGCTCCCTCGTCTCAGCCACCTTGGTCCCACCTGCTCCTCAGCCCCCGGTGTTCCTCGGCTACCTTGCCTCAGCCCCCTCTGCCATACTTGCTCCTCGGTCCCCCGTGCCCGTGTTCCCCTGGCATCCACCTCGCCCTCATCTCCACTTTCTCAAACCCTTTGTTCCCTCAAGAAAACCCGTTTTGTCTGAGCATTGATTTTAAAAAAAGAGGGGGAAAAAAACAGCCATTTTTTGAGTTTGCAAAAGGATACGGAAGAGGTCAAAGGCTCCTGCCACATAGATGATAGTGTCTCCGGGTTGAGGCTCCTGGCCTGAAGCAAACTGGATGATT